CTCTGGCAGGTTTCTGACTCGGCAGAAAATTTGCGCGCCAAATTCGTCACCAATTGAAGAAATTCGAATCTGGTTGTCCAGATGATGTCAGCGGTGTCGAAAGCGGCTGATTTCTTGTTCTGCGCGTTATTCTCCCTTTGTGCAGAAGTCGCGCTCCATCTCGTCCGTTGAAGTAGAAGTCGATCCGACGGTCCAAACTCCAAGCGATCTGAGGATACTCCTGAGTCGCGTTCAGCAGCTTTCGGCGCCCGGGTTGACTCGTTTCCTGCAGCAATTCTCGGTCGTCGATGTCGGCTGTCGAACGATCGGACGCTCCGAAAACCTTCGCGGCTTGCGAGGTCCCGTTCCCATTCGCGCCGAAACGCGAACTCGCTCAGACGGATTTCGTTCTCGCCTCGGTCGATCTGAAGCGTCGAATCTCAATCGGACGGATGTCGTCGGTCGCAGCTCCGCACATTTCCGCGCAACTCCAAGTGTCGTCGCGAACTGCGAACTCCTCGGAATGTCGCAGGGAGTGTTCCGTCAGAACTGACGCGCTCGCCATGTCGAGGCCGTTTGCCCCCGCGAAACATCGGCACCGTCGATGCAGTCCATCGAACGGTTGGCGAGGCATCTCGCCTTCAAAGGGGACCCCAGGTGCAACTGCGAGAGGAACGTCGAAACTTAAATGAAAGTGCATTGTACTTACAGGAATTGAAGTTTCGACTCCATCCTCCGCGTGCTCCTGGGGGCCCAGCGGTTAAGCGTTGAGCTGAACCCTTGGCTCTGATTACCAAGTGTCACAGGATCGAATGTCCCGAGGAAAGGTTTGCTCAATGTTGCACTATCAATCAGTACAAGGTGCTTTTATACTTCCAGGGTACATCAGGTAACCAGGCTAATCCTATCCAAAGGGAATAGACCCTTCTAGAAATAGAATCACCATGCGTATAGCCACGCGAGGCTATTGGCTTTAAGGGATTACGGCAGGATTACGCTAGATATAGCGCGCCAGTTCATCCCGAGCCTGGTCGGTGATATAATTATAATAACAGGATAAACCAAAGGATGATGGAAAAGGAGGAATAGGAAACCAAATGAGATGAGATAAAGACCGAACGAATGAGGATAAAAAGAGGAATGAAATAGAAAGGAAATATGGAAAGGGGAAATTGGTATAACGGTGTCGTACTCTCACAGTAATCCTCTCACTGGTCCTTCATGAGCTCCTTCATGTCGGACTTCCCTTTGTCCGTGATCGCAAATGCGAGCTGTGCCTTCTCCGCATCCAATCCTGTCCACTCTTCATCCCCCCCCCCCCCCTTCCCACCTCAGGCTTTGACCGCGTCCCAATCGCGCGGCGGCGGCTGCCAACGAAACACCCGCGCTAGGACGGAAAATGCCTGACGGGTTAGTGTCGCCAGTAGGGTGCAGTGGCTGGGTCATGGGACGCGGCATGGAGGGGATGGTGTCACGCAGGAGGGGCATACTAGGATGGGCTGTTGGCGGGGAAGCACTACTCGACATGATGCGAGTTGGGGTGGAGGCGGTGGAAGATGTGCCCACCGGTGGGGGAACGCTGGGTGCTGAAGTCGCGGCTCAGACGACGGATGCGGTATGGTCGATGCTGGCAACTGCGTTGGCCGATTAGTTGGAAGCGGCGGCTGTACGGGGTGGGGCAGTGGCTCGCCCTGCCCTAGAGCACAGAGGCGTCCGGCATCGGGCCTGTTTGAGGGGCCGCATTGTGACAGGGAGGGGAGCCAGGAGATGGTAGGGGGATTTAAGATATGTAGTATCTATTCTTCATTAATCTCTACAGTCATGCGGTTGACTTACATGCACCGTCAGTGGCTGCGTCCGGGTCTCAGATCTTGGGTGGCTATGGAAGTGAATCCAGGATGGGGTGGATTGTGGTACTGGGGCTTGAAGGGGAGATGGTCGCCGTCGCAGGCAGGTGAGTTTGAGAATAGGAGACTGCGGGAGTCCATGGTGGGGAAAGAGCATGCAAATCACAGATTATGCCTGCTTCTTCAAAGGGTTCTTTTTTGTGCTCTTTGGGACATGGGTCTCTAGCATGGGCTAGTGTATAGTTGCTCTAGCTATCTGCAATGCAAGTTTTGCCTGTAGAAAGAGCCTTCCGCCGAACATCCATTTTTGTTGTTTTTGGCGGGCTGGTCGGGAATTCCGTGCAATGGCGCTGTTTCTGGTGACTGACGACACTGCTCGCAAAATTCGCGCAGGGGAGATGTTTGGTTTTGGTGGGAAGCATCCGGACATTTGTCCAGAATATCGTTTGGACACTGTGTCCAGACAAGCGTGGAACATTGGAGTTTGAAACTGACGTTTCTTTTGTGAGGGCTTTGGCGAACTTCTTTGAGAACACAGGCAAACCCAGTAACCGGTTTCACCTTCAGACGGAAATCTGTTCTGAAACGCTAGGCTACACGCTCTCATAGACAGATATAGAACGAAAATATCACACATTTGCTCCTTCCCAATTGATGAGCCAAGCTCCATCCCTACATCAACTTCAGTGAGTGGTTGATTATCATTAGCTTCGAACTCACAATCATTCCCTGTCTCGTCAATGGCATCCTTACATATCCAAGAGTCTTCACCAACGGAATTTCCACTATCCTCGTCGGATATGATGGTCTCGCAACTCTGGAACATCTTAGCAACTTGTTCATGATCACTCACCTCGTATAGCTCTCATCGTCAAAATCTTTGTGAAAGTTGACATACTGTATCCGACTATTTTCTATTTCTATAGCTTCTAATAAAATCCCTTCGTATCAGAGACATTTTGACCACACGGTCCATCTACCTTATTGGTTAGCTCCAACTCAGACACAAAATCTCTAGAAGGAATTGCCTCCATACACGTGGACCGGTTGACATAGCGGTCCAGCGATGCTTTTGGCTGGAAAATATCCGTCGGTGCAGAGTTTGTGTTGATAGATATAGTGCCACAGCTAGATTTCTTATACGGTATGCTCCATTTTTTATTTTTATTTTAATAAAGAATAAAAAACTTTCTTCCTGTGCACTAGTATGTTGGGTAATGACACACAGCCACGGGACTGCAGATCCTAGGACTATGGGTCTCCGTCCAGCACCCGCCGCCGCCTTCTCCGAGCGAGCCATCGACCCTGTCGCAGGCTCTGGGGGGGAACATAAGGCGGAATGGAAGGAAGCAATGGAAAAAGAGTTAAAAGCCCTCCAAGACCGGAATACATGGAAGTTAGTACCGACAACCAACACCAACGGGAGGAACATTCTCTCGGGGAAATGGGTGTACTGCATTAAGACCAACGCGGACGGCTCCATCGAACGTTTTAAAGCGCGATGGGTCGTACGAGGCTTCGACCAACGATACGGAACCGACTACACAGAAACCTTCGCCCCAGTCTCCCGTCACACCTCCCTGCGCATCCTACTCGCCGTCGCGGCCACGAAGAAACTACCACTACGGCAAATCGACGTCGCAAACGCCTTCTTGTACGCACCTGTGGACGCCGAAATCTTCGTCGAACAACCCCACGGATTCATCGACGACCCTTCAAAAGTATGCCAGCTGGAAAAATCCCTTTACGGGATCAAGCAAGCCCCACGGCTCTGGCAGCAGCACCTTCACGGCCGGCTCGTAAAAATCGGATTCCTACAGTTACCACATGACCAAGGCATGTACCGACTGCAGAAGGGAAGAGATTACATTCTGCTCATAGTCTACGTCGACGACCTGCTCTACATCGGTTCTACCACCGACATCGTCACCTGGTTCGAAGGGGAGCTGAAAGGGGACCTGACGCTCATGGTGTCCGACTCAGTGACCCAGTACTTGGGACTAAATGTCGTCGAAGACAACTCGGCGTTCTACCTACACGCTGGAAAGTACGCAGGCACTGTCGCGAAGAAATTCGGACTGACGCCGACTACGGTCCCGACTCCCTACCGCTACGGAAACAACAACAGCGCCTCCGCAAAACTCCCCGCGAAGCAAATCCAGGAGTATCAACAGAAGCTCGGTTGCCTACTATTCGCAGCAGTCACCTGCCGACCCGACCTGTCCTATAGTGCGAGTCAACTAGCGACGCATCTGAAGCAACCGGAACAGGAAGATCTCGAGGAACTCAACCGGGCACTACTCTACTTCGTCTCCACGCCAACGATCGGACTTACCTACAGCAAAGCGACAACACCGTCCGTACAACTACTCGGATACGTCGACGCCGACCACGCGGGAGACAGGGAAAATCGACGATCTAGGACGGGCTACATCTACCGACTAGAACCCATCGGAACTATCTCCTGGCAGTCGAGCAAGCAGGAGTTAATCGCACTATCCTCGGCTGAAGCAGAGTACATCGCCCTTTGTACTGCGACCAAGGAAGGACTCTACCTGCGAGAGTTACTCGAGGAAGCGAAGATCACGACCCTGCCCGCCTTCTCACTCTTCTGCGACAACCACTCTGCGATCAAAATCGCAAACAAGGACGGCTTCGCCAACCGAACCAAACACATCGCCCTGCGGTACTTCTTCGTCAAAGATGAAATCGCGAAAGGGAGACTTCAACTCAGTTACTGCCCGACAACAGAAATGGCCGCAGACTATTTGACGAAGAAATTGGCAAAAGCAAAATTCGACTACTGCATGTTGCTGACCGGACAAACAAACGTCATCGGACCTGAACAAGTCAGCACTCCAGAAACGAAGGGGAGTGTTGAAAGTACATCAAAAGACTTAAGCGTTTCTGAAGTGTAACACTACACTCGAGGAAGATTGCAAGGGGTACGCGAGTCAACGGAGGTTACACGAGGGGGCGGACAAAGAACACGAAGGGTTTGGGACTCAAAGGGTCGCAACTGGAGGTTGCGACAGACCGTTACAACAGCACGGATGGTAACCGAAGCGACAATCGAGTCGCTGTACGACTCGATAAACCGCTACTGCAACTGTACTCTACAACTGTTTCTTATCTTCTATATATTGCTGTATGTTTGTCTTTTTATTATCACTTGTTCTCACATACTAGTACAAGGGTTCAACTGCCTCAACTTCCGCTGCACTACCCCAAGTCTCAAGTCTTTACAGCTGGGACTTAGTCTCTGGAAAGATCCCAAGGGCTTTTCTCAGCACAACAAGTATAACTTTATCACAACACTCCCCTTCATTTCTGGAAGTCCGATAGTTTCACTTCATGATAATCCCGCAGAGCTCGTTGCAGTATTGAAACTTCTGATGTGTCAGCTTCTTGGTGAGAAAATCTGCAACCATTTCATTGGTTGAAGAGTAAACCAATCGCATTCTCCCCTTCTCGACTTCGTCCTTGACGAAGAAGTATCGCAACGAAATGTGTTTCGTCCTGTTGACGAAACCAACTAGAAACGACCCAACAGTTAATATGTTTTTGGAGGGGCAGGCAGCAGCCCGCGTTTTTTACCAAGCCGTATGCCACGTAATCGAATTGCGCTTGCAACATTTCGCACTGGCGATAGATTTTACGATCACAGATTTGCGCACTTAGCATTTCGACCAATTCGGGCCCAGCCTCGTTTTTGCCGGAGTAGTGAACCTCGGTCCAACTTGAAATTCGAGTTGGGCCCACTTGGTGCAGCTTACAGGCAGTGGGGCCTGGGCGACAAGTGGCGCGCTGCTTGCGATTTTTCCTGAGCCACGTTTCCCATCGTACGTCATGGGTTTCCCATCAACCAATCAGGTAACTGCCTCTACTCGCCCAATTTCCCATGCTCGCATTTCTCGACAGTGTATCCTCTGCCCCGTCGCAGTTTTGTCCCTTAGTCGCAAAAAATGACGTCTGGGCCCTTTCAAGCTGGACCCGCCTTCACTATTTTGACCTCTCGCTTTAAGATATAAGGTTTTCGACATAGTAACTAACAGAAAGAATGAATAACTAGAGTGGTGAGATACAAGGCAATATAGTCTAGAGTGTTGTACCCACTAAGGCACAAACATATATAGTCTACAGTAGCTGCATAAGCTATGTTTGACACACCCCCTAGACTATATAGGGGCAGTGCCTAACAAGGGAAGAAGCAGCTCAGGGCGGCACTACTAGTCCAGCCTTTGAGACAAGGGTCTAAAGACCAGTCAAAGGAATCAGACAAGGTGTCACAGGATCGAATGTGTCGAGGAAAAGTTGCCCTATCGATCAGTACAAGGCGCTTTTATACTTCCAGAGTACATCAGGTAACCAGGTTTATCTTATCCTAAGGGAATAGACCCTTCTAGAAGATAGAATCACCCTGCGTATAGCCACGCGAGGCTATTGGCTTTAAGAGATTACGGCAGGATTACGCTAGATAGCGTGTCTAGAACATTCCATGCCTGGTCGGTGATATAATAATAATAAAGGAAGAAACCAAAGGATAATGGAAAATGGGGAATATGAGGCAAAAGGAGATGAGATAAAAAGAGGAATGAAATGAAGATGAAATATGGAAAAGGCCAAGTGGTGTAACGGAGTCGTACTCTCACACTTCCCCCCCTCAAAGCTGGGTGGTAGAAGTAACACCCTGCTTGACAAGGTAGTCATGCAGAGGACGACGGGCGTTACCCATGTCGGTCTCAGAGACCCAGCTGTCCTCAGAAGGATCATAGCCCTTCCAACGAATAAGAAGCTCCACGGTGCCATTCCGACGACGGCGGTGTGCAAGCACGGACTCGACCTCGTACTCGGGTTCATTTTGGACGAGGACGGGTGGCGGCGGCGGCGGTTGGCGTCCGACGAAGATCGTATTAGGATCTCGATAGGGCTTCAGAAGTTGGACATGGAAGGCGTTGTGAATCTTCCAGGTAGCTGGTAGGCGTAAGCGGAAGGTAACAGGAGTGACCTGTGCTTCAACGAGAAAAGGCCCGCAGAAGCGAGGTCGAAGTTTAGATGGGAGATGGCTGATGTCCAGGTTGCGGGTGTCAAGGAGAACCTGGTCTCCCACGGAAATGGTGTGGTCGTTGCGATGGCGATCGGCCTGGAGCTTCTGTTGCTGTTGAATGTCAAGGAGGCGCTTATGGGTCCGATCCCAAAGCTGATGCATGGTTGTGATGAAGTCGTGTGCAGGTTGGACTGTTGCTGGTGTTGTCGGTTTCTGTGGTGTGAGTGGGTGGCGTCCGTAGCAGAGGAAGAACGGCGTCTGTCCCGTAGCGGCGTGTGTAGCGTTGTTGTAGGCAAACTCCAGGACGGGTAGGTGCAAGTCCCATTTGGAGATGTCGTCCTTGCAGGCTGCTCGGAGGAGTTGCTCAACAATTTGGTTGAGGCGCTCGGTCTGTCCGTCTGTCTGCGGATGGTATGCGGATGACATGGCGAGTTTGGTGCCGAGCAGAGACATAAGTTCCTTCCAGAACTTGCTAGTGAACTTGGGGTCTCGGTCGGAGATGAGTGTAGTTGGGATGCCATGCTGTGAGATGATGTGACGAACGAAGAGCTGTGCTGTCTCCTCGGTGCGTGCCGTCGTGTGTGTCGGGATGAAGTGTCCCATTTTGGAGAACTTGTCAATGACGACAAGGATGGCGTCATGACCGCTGGAGGTAGGTGGTAACCCGGTAATGAAGTCTAGGCTAACCACTTGCCATGGTTGTTCTGGGACAGGAAGAGGCTGCAGTAGTCCCGCCTTTTTCTGCTTGCTGCTCTTCATCCGCTGACATGTATCACACGAGGTGACGAATTTCTGGACGTCGTCTGCCATATGGGGCCAGTAGTAGTGTTTGGCGATACCGGTGAGCGTCTTGTTGCTACCGAAGTGTCCAGCGTACAGGACGTCGTGGTATTCTTCGAGTAGTAACTGGCGCAAAGGAGGGTAATTGGGTACCCAGATTTTCGTTGAGCCTTTCCGGTACGCAATGTCGTTGTCCCACTGTAGTAGATGTCGTTTTTCTGCCAAGGGTATTTCGGGGTCGATGGCGTACCCGTGTGTGAAGAGTCCCTTGAGTAGTGGATTCATCCCTTCGACCTGAATCGCGGCAACGTGTGCAGGCCGGCTGAGCGCGTCTGCTTTGTTCTTGTGGCCAGGCTTGTACACGATGTCGTAGTGGAAGTGTGTCTCGAGGAAGTCGATCCACCGGACCTGCCGCCTGGAAAGGTTGGGTTGTGTCTTCAAATATTTCAGGCTGCAGTGGTCGGTGTAGACGGTTGTTCTTCGTCCTTCGAGATAGCATCTCCATGCTTTGAAGGCGATGATGATAGCAAGGGCCTCTTTGTCGTGTATCGGGTAGTTGAGTTCTGCTCCGTGCAGTTTCTTGCTGAGGTAGGCAATGGGTTGCAGTCCATTCCCTTGGTCTTGCATCAAGACTGCTCCCACGGCCTGATCACTGGCGTCTGCTTCAATGACGTAGTCACGTTCGGGATCTGGCAAGATGAGCACCGGTGCGGATGTTAGTGCTTGTTTCAGCTGCTCCACGGCTTCCTGGTGCTTTGGTTCCCATTTGTAGGGCGTGTTCTTCTTCAGCAGATTCGTGAGTGGTGCTGCGATTTTCGCATATTGTGGCACGAACCTGTTGTAGTAATTAGCGAAGCCTAGGAACTGCTGCAACTCCTTCACGTTCTCGGGTGTCTTCCACGTACGTACGGCTTCGATTTTCTTGGGGTCGACGTGAACTCCTTGAGCGCTCACCATGTGTCCTAGAAATTGGACCTTTTCCAGGGCGAATTCGCTCTTGGACAGTTTGACGTAGAATCGTTCTCGTCGAAGAATTTCGAAGACGCGTCGCAGGTGTTCGACGTGCTGCTTCATGTCGCGCGAGTAGATGAGTATGTCGTCCAGGTACACCACCACGCATTCGTCCAGAAGTGGTCGTAGAATGTGGTTCATTTCGGCTTGGAACGTTGCCGGCGCGTTGGTGAGTCCGAACGGCATGACCAAATACTCGTACGATCCGTACCGAGTTCGGAAAGCAGTTTTGTGGATAGAGTTGTCCGCCATCCGTATCTGCCAGTATCCGGACCGCAGATCCAGTTTGGAAAATACCGTAGCTCCCCGAAGCTGGTCAAGCAGGTCATCGATTCGTGGTATCGGATATTTATTCTTGATGGTCTGCTTGTTAAGAGCTCGGTAGTCGATGCACATGCGCAGGCTTCCGTCCGGTTTCGGTGTGAAGAGTACTGGGGCACCGTATGGCGAAGTAGATGGTCGGATGAGTCCTTTGGCTAGGAGATACTCGATCTGCTTCTTCATGTCGGTCAGCTCCGTAGGGCTGAGCCGGTATGGTGCTCGGAAGGTCGGCTTCGAACCCGGTTCCTCCACAATCTCGTGTTGATGTGTTCGGTATGGCGGTAGCTCGTTCGGAAGATCGTCAGGAAGAATGTCTTGGAACTCCTTTAATAATTCCTTGATTTTTTCTGGAGTTTTCGAGGCTTTCTCTCCGTCATTCTCCACCTCTGTTGCTATCGCCAGGAACCCGGTGTCGGTCCGCTTCACGTCCTTCTCGAATCGTGCGAGTGTCTCCACTGGGATATCTCCAGTATCGTCCCAGTTGGGTAGCTGTACTCTCCGTCCATTGTTGTAGATGCTTGCGGTGCGGTTCACCCAGTTGATCTCGGGGTTGAATCTTTTCAGGAAGTCTCGCCCGAAGATCAAGTCAAGCCCTTTGATGTTGGTGATGGGGAGTGCAGGTCTCCAGCGCAGTGGTCCGATTTGTAGATGTAGCACTGCTTCGCCGTGTACTGGTAACTTGCTGCCATCCACCATCGTTGCAGAGAATTTTGAAGGCTTGTACTCTTCTCGAAGTCGGTCGATTATTGCCTTGTCGCAGACGGTGTGTGACGCTCCGCTGTCCACGAGTGCTTGGAGGCGTCGTCCTTTGCAGATGACCTCGAGCACGAGAGGCGGGCGTTGCTCAGAGTACCCAAAGATAGTCTCATTAATGGGGTCATAGGGTACATCCCAATAATCCGTACACACCTTTTCGTTGCTATCTGCTCCTGAGCTAGCAGCTGGCCGAGGCTGCTTGGAGAACGGCTCTTCTCCAGGGCCCGGAGTTTCCTTGACGACTGTGCGTGTCGTTGATGCCGAAGAACTGGATGCATCCGTAGAAGGAGTTCGGGGTTTGTGCAGCTTCTTGTAGACCCCCAGCTTCCTCTTGAGCTGCTTCAGCTCCACTGACGTCTTCCCTGGGGAGCGGGTAGTCGTTGTGGGCTGGTGTCGGGAGAGGACGTTGACTCCGTGGAAAGGTCGGCTTCTTTCCACACTCCTTAATTTGGTCCCCAAGTTGTCCGGTACCGGTATAATCTCCACAGCTGTCTGCTTCTTTTGGAGTCCCTCCCGAATTTTCTCCAAGGCTCTAGCCCCTCGAACATCATAAGTTTTCATTAAAGCATCTTTATAAGATAACTTTAACGAATTCTTATAATTTCTTGGGTCTTCAAGGAGTTTCCCTGTCTCGGCAGAGTCTTTTTTCGCGGAGTCGTATTTTTCCTCGGCGATTTTCCCTGGCGAAGACTGGTCGTGGGGTGGAGATTTTCCCCCATCATTTTCTCCTTCTCGCGTCGAATCAGCTTCGTCGAAGTTGATTTTTCCGGAATCCCGCGGCCGCTTTCGGATCTTTTTATTTTCGCCAGCTAGATCCGCAATCACTGGCGACTCCCGTTTTTTGTCTTCTGATTGGCCGGAAGACTTCCGCCACTGTTGCGTGCCCGATACTCTGCGCGTGCGGCCTTCATTTTGTTGCAGTCGAAGATTCGGTGGCCCGGCACCCCGCAAAAATCACACGTGTAGTTGGTGTTTTTCGGACGTGGCCGCCCCTCGAATCTGTCGACTTCCATCGGGTCGGCGAACGTGGTGTGAGCCGAGCGGTCGCCCTGTCGCGTACTGCCGACGTGCGTCCGTCGTGTTCCGGCGTTGACCATGTCGAAGCGCTCCGCGGCCGAAACGACGTCACTGTAGCTCGCGTAGTTTGACGCTGCGACTTGTCGTTTGACTTCGGTCTTCAGCCCTGCGAGGTACGATTGCACTTTTTCCCCTTCGGTCAGGTCGGGAATGCGGTTATAAAATTCTTCCATCTGCTGCGTGTACTGTGATACACTCCCGAACTGTCGATGACGATGAATTTTTTCGCGGGCAAAAAAACTCGAATTTATCGGCTCGAATCTCTTCAGCAGGTCGGTGCGGAACTGCTGCCACGTGGCTTCACCGTGGATGAAGGTGCTGTTGCCGCCAATCCACTCGAGTGCCGGCCCTCGCATCAGTGTCGCCGCGAGTCGTACGCGTTGACCGTCCCAGACTGGCGAGCTCCATCCGACGGCTGCGAAGTAGATCTCCATCCCGGCGACCCATCTGCGGGCGTCGGAGTTTCGATCGCTCGGATCGAACGGCTCAGGTGGGCGCGGTTTCGGAGCCTCGAGAAACTGCTGCGACTGCTGCGTCGTCGCCGTTGTCGTCTCATGCTGCGCTCCGGCGAGTCGAGTTACTCGCTCGAACTGGTTTCGCCACGCTTCGCGATCCGCTCGCATTTCCTCCTGAAGGGCTGCGATGCGCGCGAAGAGCTGCTGGGTAACCTCGGTGTTGTCGAAGGTTGCCATCCTGTTCAAAACACGCACGGAGGGGGTAATTCGAAAATCGCGGAGCTGGTGCTTACCAGAATCGGCGTCGAATTGGTCGCCCCCGGCGGTTTTTCGAGGCAGGATCCCCGCTGCTGCTGCTTAGCTGAGCGCGGTCGAGTGAGAAAAGCTCTGATTACCAAGTGTCACAGGATCGAATGTGTCGAGGAAAAGTTGCCCTATCGATCAGTACAAGGCGCTTTTATACTTCCAGAGTACATCAGGTAACCAGGTTTATCTTATCCTAAGGGAATAGACCCTTCTAGAAGATAGAATCACCCTGCGTATAGCCACGCGAGGCTATTGGCTTTAAGAGATTACGGCAGGATTACGCTAGATAGCGTGTCTAGAACATTCCATGCCTGGTCGGTGATATAATAATAATAAAGGAAGAAACCAAAGGATAATGGAAAATGGGGAATATGAGGCAAAAGGAGATGAGATAAAAAGAGGAATGAAATGAAGATGAAATATGGAAAAGGCCAAGTGGTGTAACGGAGTCGTACTCTCACATCTATCCTCCGTATAGAGCCTACGATTATATGGACTTTTTCGTTTGTACTAGTGCGATGTTTCAAAATGTAGTATTCTCGAGCCCATGCTGCATGCGTTTACTCTCAAACCTGATGATACATAATTTATCCCCCTTTAACATCAACCATATTGCGTTTCTTTGGCAGTGCTTGACAATACTGCAAACTTTTGACTCGTCAAATGAAATGTTTGCGAATGCAAATGATAAATCGCTATTACCTTCAACTCGTCCTACGAAACCAAATAACGTTTGGGAGTGCAAACGATATATCGTCATTACCTTCAACTCGACCTTCGAAACCTAAAAAACGCCTACCTGTCACCTCATTGTGACTATCCAACATCGTGCTCATTCCAGATGTGCCAGCAATATCATATCCACTTGCTGCACTGAAAATATATAGCGCTGAACGATTGCCCCTTTTCGAAACTTAACGCACGTGACTATTTGTCGTCTATGATGGAATGCTGTTCCATGCAGCTCACCATGTGTGGACTCCTCAAGGTAAGTATTGTGGTTGTTTGTTAGTAACATGTGAATATCGCCAACATTGTTGACAAAATCCTCTCTCTCGCAATGAACCCGTTACAACCAAACAATTACGGCCCTGTGTTTCAGCTTGCAAAATGCCCTAATCTTATATGATGAGCCCCACTCATGATCGGGACCAATGAATTCCACATACTTATCAGGCATTGATAGGGATGTGCCATGACACGTCGATACTAGAGGTGAAAACGTTGGCCCATGGCCTTCTTTTTTGTTTGTTTGTTTGTTTGTTTTTTTTTTTTTTTCGTTCATGAATATTCGTAACCTGCGCTTCAAGACAAGGCATCTAAACAAATAGGCACCATCGCCTTTGACTGTTCTATGACGAAAGTGAAACCCCGTCTCAACGCACCCGACGAAATGTTGGAACAGCTCAGTCACTAACCACTAAGTTAAAAGGGCGTGTTACGTTGCGGGTGAAGTGGCCGGATTGGTGGGCCCCAGAGCATGAGGCGTGTGATGAAGGTAAGAGTCGGCAAGATGGAGCTGGCTATGTAGTAGAAACTGCATATGATACGGGAAAGGAGTATGAGCAGGCTCCTGGTCAGTTTTAGCATGAGCAAGGGAACAGGGGGAGAAAGAAATCATCTGCCAAGGAGAGAGCAGACCACCATCCGCTCAACACATGGATCTTGGACTCCGGAGTGGCATACCATAACCCCAAGGGCGGAACTGCTGGATAAGATCAGTGCTCCACCAATCATAGATTTGGTTTCATGATGTGGGAGTGAAATGAAAGACATGGAAGCTGGCAAGGCACCCTTCACAGGTGCTGATGGGAAGCCGTTTGTCATGGAAAATGTGCTTCTAGTCCCTTGCAAGCAAACCTGATCTCATTGAGGCTGACGGGCCTTGCGGGTGTGAGTACATCCACCAAGGGAGCCGAATCCTGCAAAGGGTGGACGGACAGCCGTGTGTTTTGTGGGA